GTGAGTTCTAAGCCACCGGGTCCGGGATGCGAACCGCGGTCGACTACGTGGGAGTCCAGTGACATAGCCATTACGCTAACTGCTGGTCCCCGGATTTCTTTTTTAGGCCAAGAACCGAGAACTATTGAAGCAGGCAGCTGCCTTGTCTAAGAGCAAGAAGTCGGAGAGGGCAGGAGCCATCACCTCTCCGTGACAGGTCGCAGGCAGCAGGCGAGCGGCCCTGGGTTCGACTGGAGGCCTGGCTGTCCTCTGGGAGCCTCTGGTTTGTCACAGTGGCCCTCCTGCACGTGCAGGGCAGGGTGGAGACGCGGGTCTGTGCTATGTGGCTGCGCACTGGGGTGCTGGGGGTGCTGGGGGTCCAGGCCGCACCCTGCCCCACTGCCACACTCCTGCCGCTCCCCTCTCCCCCTCCGATTTGGGCCTGCACTTCCTTTGTGGCCACTGCTGTGTTGTGTGCAGGACGCTGTCCTCCTTTGTCCCGTCCGTCAGTGTGCTCGGCCGTACCCGTGAGCAGTCTGGCATTCGTTACCTGGCACTGCCACCCTCTGGACTTTGAAACTGCCACCTTCAGGCTGGTACATGGAAGAGGCTTTCCCTCTCCAGTAAGCCTTTTGCTTCAGGGTATACTCTTGGGGTTTTTTCCAGGTATATTATGTATGAACTTTGTACTGTGTATAGCCAGAGTTTTATTTATTTTTTAAACACAGAAACTTTTTCTTGATAAAGGAATATTGGTAGCCCAGCTAGTTCTTGTAAAAGTGATGTGTCTCAGAAAAACAGTCCCCTTCGCCAGCTTCTGTAGGTCAGACCTTTTCTCTCTGGTTACCTCGGAGCCTCCAGAGCTGCCCCGTGACATCACTGGCTGCGAGGACAGGGCGGAGCTAAGTGCCTTTCTGGGGGGCTCTTGCACGGAGCCAGGGCAGCAGGGCTTGGAACCTCCTCCAGGAAGGGCGGCAGGTGCCAGTGCTGGCTACGTCCCTTCCCGCCCACTGGGCACACCACGCCCCTTCTCGCCCACTGGGCACACCGCTCCTTCTTAGGGGGTCCCCTTTGCTTGCTTTTGGCGGTTGTCATCCTGGGCTCTTGTCAGAAAACATCGTTTTGCACAAGCAGATTCAGGAGGGTGCCTCCCAGCTGCCTGCACCTTTTCGCTCGGATCCCAAGGAGGATGCTGGATTCTGGGAAGCAGCTGGGCCTGGCTGGTGGCCCTCTCCCCTTCCTGGGCTGCAGGGCGTGGACCCGCTCTTCTAGGAGAGCACAGACCTGCATTTGGAGCCAGCCTCTCGGGCCTCTGGAGGTTTTAGAAAAAAACGGCTGAAGGGCTGCTAGGGTGGGACCTGAGCTAGCAGGAGGCGGGGAGGTGCTGGCAGGGAGTGGGCTGCCTCACCGGGGTGCTTCCTGGGCGGCCAGCTCGACAGTGGCCTGGCAGACGCGGGCTGTGGCTAGTGTGTGGCCTGGAAGGGATGCTCTCCCTCTTCTAGGGAAGGCAGGGGCAGTGGCAAACTGTGACTTTCTGACCAGAGACTCTGAGACGAAGATAAACAGGCAGATAATATTTTTCAGATGCTTTTGCACTGACTATGGGGAAAAGATGGTAAAAAAAAAAAGGGGGTCTTTTTTCTTTTCATTTTAAACACTGAGAAATTCTGTTGTGTGAAGTACGATAATATAAAAACATACTTAGTTTTATACTAAATCTTTTTTTAAGGTCTTGACATTTAATATAAAGTAAATCCACACATTTTCTAACTTTCCATAAGTTCCAAAAAGAGAAGGAAGAAACCTCAGTCTTGAAATTCTTATTTTTAAAAACCATGACACTGTTGTACCGTGAAATGGAGGAGCCAACTTTTGGTGACACCTCCGACCTCTTTGTACGTTTGTAATAATGGACATTTTCAAGCCCAGGAATGTCTTGGTTTGTACAGACTTTGACACATGTGTGCTAATAAAAACCCGTATGGACTCAAGTGGAATTGCCGGGTTTGCTTCTGTTCTTGCTGGTGGCAGCAGGCAGCGCCCACCCCTCCGCCTGGACAGCAGGCTGTCTTGCTCATGGGCTAAAACACTACACCCTGTGCCAGGCCGGCAGGTGGCATGGTGGGTAAGGTGCTGGACTCCCACATGGTGGGCCACAGTTCGAGTCCTGGACCTGGTGGCTTGGTTTCTTACTTTCCCTTTCTCTGGTCAAATTAAATATAATAATAATAAATAAAATAACTAATTTTTAAAAACCCCGAACAGGTGAATGGGGACTTGGATGTTCATCGGCAATTATTACTCTGTCTGTCTACCCGAGACTTGCTGTGACTGGCGACCAGGGGTACCACAGTTACACACGCTGGGGCCATTGGGGGACAGGGCCCTAGATCTATATTCACCACTGCTTCGATGCACACAGGGTGGGTCTTCAGACAGTACGAATGAAGCTTTGTGAGCTGTTGCCTCCAAAAGAGGGAAGAGTGCATTAGTCTTAGTTTGAAGCTCTAGTGATTTATTTTTTTAGGTTTTTGCCTGAAGGCTCATGCACTTGCCAGAGACAGACAGGGAAAGTGAGAAACCAGCCCTGGTGGGGCGGCCATGCCGCGCCCTCTCCTCCAGTCTCTTCTCGGGATTTTGGGCATGCATATACATATACATATGCCTGGCACAGTTTTCAAGCCACCAGATCCAAGATGCAGCCGGTCATTGGCATACAGGAATCCAGTGCCTTAGCCACCATATCACCTGCTAGCCCTGTGATGGCGTTTTTATATTATTAGATAATTATTTACTGGGGCCAGCAGTTGGCGTAGTGGCCATGTCGCTGGACTCCCATGTAGTTGACCACAGTCCAAGTCCCGGACCCGGTGGCTTAAACTCACACCAGGCGCGTGTGCATGCATGCCCAGGATCCCGAGAGGAGAATGGAGGAGAAGAGATTGCAGCGTGGCCATCCCCCTGGGGGTGATTTCTCACCTTCTGTCTCTCTGTCTCTCTCTGTCTTTCTGGTGAGCGCACGCGCCCTACAGCAAAAACCTCTCCAAAAGAAAAAAAAGCAGGTGCCTTGCAGACATTGTCGCTGTCACATCGTGGTCATTCTGGTCTATAAGCTCAAAGCTTATTTTCTCTAAGTAAACTGAAGACAGTTTTATTTTGTAGCTATTTAGGATCACCTCTACTGTGTGAGTTGTCTTAATTTATTCATTTACCAACCCTTAAAACCCATGCTAGGGGAAGAGCATTAGGGTCTAGACCAAGGAAGAGCCCCCTGGTCACCAGGAAGGTGAGCAGCCTGGCTCCACCCTTTGCGGTGGGGGACCAGATGCGGTCTGCAGCCTAGCTGTCCTCACTTCGTGTCCAGTCTGAGGACCATGGAGGAGGGGCTGTCTTCGGGGAGGGTCACACCTGTGAGTTACAGGGTGCTCTGATTATGTGCGGTGTAACAAGTCGCCCCAAATCTGGTGGCCTAAGCACCATCTGAGGGCCAGGTGGTGGCCCAGCGAGCGCTCGGGGTTCTGGGTCTGCGTTCCAGGACCTCCCTGAGCATGCTGGTACACGCACACCTGCGATCGGGCCAACTGGGGCGCGGGGGGTTGTGGGAGCCGGTCAGGGTGGCTGTCTCTCATGGATATGAAAGGTGAGTAAACTTACATACAGACAACCTCAGTGTACCCACAGACCCTGCAGCTGGGAGTGGGCAGCGCTGTGGCGACGACCCACCTCTGTCTAAAACGTCTGGCCATCTAAGGGGGCTGTACAGCGGGGGCACTTCGTGGAGCAGGCACGCCTCTCGGGCTGTGTCTCTTGTGGCTGTGACCTCAAGGTTATCCTCAAGCCTCCAGGCACGCCCTGCAGCAGTCAGACCCCACCCAGACTCAAGGGCACATGCAGAGCCTCCTCTGAGCAGGAGCGCATGGGACGGGATTACCGCACTGACATGTCAGACGCGCTTTGCCACATGGTAAACCATTTGAGGCCTAACCCAGACCCAAGGGCAAGGCAGGTCTGCACGTGTGGGCCCCACCAGACCTGCACACGTGGGCCCCACTAGCTCCAAGACTGCCTCTGGGCTGCGGAGGCCCTTCCACAGGTGCCCCGCGGCACCTGGGTTAGAAATTCAGCCTGCTGGCTCTTCCCCAGGGGCCTACAGGCTGCCACCGGTGCTGCCACGCCTCAAGTGACCCCTGGGAGGTTCCAGCACATTGTGAGTACTCAACACCAACACCGACAGGCGGCAGAGAATAGCCTTTGCCATCACTGCCTTCGAGGGCGTGGTGAAGACCTGCTCCCATGCCGTGGAGGAGTGCGGCGTGGGGGACACAGCAACCTCACGGGGAGAGCAGGGGAGCTCACCGAGGATGCGGGGGAACGTGCCATCCCTACGATGCAGAATCCACGCCGTGCGAGGTCCTGGGCTGGGTCTTGAACAGGCAGGAAGATGTAAAGGATGGAAAATATAGCCAGGTCCTGGCCGATGGTCTGGACTGGAGACTGAAGAAGACTCAGGCCCACAGAGGGCGCTGCCTCCGGGGCCCCTGGGTCTGAGGCCAGCACACTGAGCCAACGGTGGCCGTACCACGGGGGTCCGAGAAGAAAAGTCTGTGGCCGCATCTGTCTTTGTATAGTTCATGTGAACTGCTTTTGGAAAGGTTTTTGCTACAGGGTGCGTGCGCTCGACAGAGACAAAGAGACAGGTATCACCCCCCAGGGGGATGGCCACGCCGCAATGCCTTCTGCATTCTCCTCTTGAGATCTTGGGCACGCATGCATACGCGCCTGGTGTGAGTGTGAGCCTCCAGGTCCGGGACTCGAACCATGCACCATCTGCTGGTCCCTATAGTTCATGCAAACTAGATGTAGGGCACACTTTCCTTCAGGGCAGCAGGTCACACCCACCTCGGTCAGACCACAGAGGTGCCTGGCCATGGCTTTCTCTGGGGTTGCTGACCGCTTGCACGGTACGTTCACCCTGCCAGCCGACATTTAAGAGTGGTAAAACTGGGCAGGTGGAGGTGCTAGACTCCTACATGGCAAGGGCAGTCAGTCCCGGCCCTGGTGGCTGGTTTCTCACTTTCCCTGTCTGGTGAGTGCATGTGCCCTGTAGCAAACTAAGAAATAATAATAATGATGATGAATAAAATTAAATAATTATTTTTTAAGAGAGGTTTAGGCACTAAGGTGCATGTACTCAACAGAAGAGACAGAGACAGTGAGAGAGAAAGTGAGGGGGGATGGTCACCCCATAATCCCTTCTCCTCCTGGGATTTTAGGCATGCACACACATGTGCTCAAGTGAGTTTCAAGTCACCCGGTCTGGGACTTGAACTGTGGTCAGTCGTATGGGAGTCCAACGACGTAACTGCTATGTCGCCTGTTGGTTCCCAAAGTTAAATCATTCTTGAGGTACCAGTAGATAGCATAATAATTATGTCACTGGACTCCCACATAGTTGACTAAGATTCAAGTCCTGGCCCCGGTGATTTAAAACTCATGCTGGGTGTGTGTGCATACATGCCCAAGACTCCAAGAGGAGAATGCAGAAGGATCCCAAGAGGAGAATGGAGACAGGATTACGTGTGGCCATCCCCCCTGAGGGGTGATTTCTTGCTTTCTGTCTCTCTCTCTCTGCCTAGTACATGTGACTTATAACAAAAGTCTCTCAAAAACCCTCTTAAAAATAAATCATTTTTAAGAAAAATGGTAAAATAACTTTTTTATTATTTATGTTAATTCAATATACATTTATTTGGCTTAGGGACCAGCAGTTAGAGTAATGACTATGTCACTGGACTCCCATGTAGTCAACCGCAGTTCGAGTCCCAGACCCGGTGGTTTAAACTCATACCGGGCGCGTGTGCATGCGTGCCCAAGATCCTGAGAGGAGAAGGGACGAGAAGGGATTGCGGCGTGGCCATTTCCCCCTGGGGGGTGATTTCTCGCTTTCTGTCTCTTTCTGTCTTTCTGGTGAGCGCACACACCCTATAGCAAAAACTCCAAAAAAACAAAAAAAAGAAAGAAAGAAAGAAAAGAAAAACGTTTATTTGGCTTCTAGTCGTTACCAGGCAGCTTTACTGCTGACAGTCACACAGAGATTTTTCTTGTGCATAAAGAAAACAGTTCTGGGGCCAGCAGGTGGCAGTGGCTATGGCACTGAATTTCCACCAGGGCGACCCTCCAAGTCTTGGAGCCCAGGGCTTGACAATCACGTGAGGGTGTGTGTGTGCGCCCAAGTCCCAGGTGGAGAATGGAGACGGGATTGCAGCGTGGCCCGCAGGGTTGGGGGTGGCGCCTGATGGCTCAATTCCCCTCTCTGTCTCTCTCCGGAGAGTGCACATGCCCTGTAGCGAAAACTTAAAAAAGAAACTTGTAGGAGAAAAATAAGTTTATTGAACTTCACTTGAAATTGTGTCCAATGTAAATGAAGACGTTCTCAAGTCTATTTTACGGGCAAAAATAAGTAAAATTTATATGATTCGCAGTAAGACTTGAGATAAAACTATGGATTCTAATGACAGACATGTTTAATAATCAGGAGACCCCCAAATGTCACCTGTCCCTGTGGTAGGCAGTTAGTCGTGAGCGGGCAGCCCTAAGAGAAAAGCGAAAGGCTCCTCTAGCTCCGGGTGCCAGGAGGGCGAGGCAATTTGCCATCTTCCTTCCTTGAGGCCTGAGGGAAGTGCACAGGGATGATTCGTAGATTTTTCTCTTATCAAAAAGGACTAAGCAAGCGTTTTGGTCTATGCCCCAATTCCTATTAGGGCGATGGACTAACTGGGTAGTCTAATTGGGGCAACCTGGCTCCATTGGGCACCCTGCGCAATTAGGTGATCAAGTTCCTCATTCTTTACCTGTGAGGAAGGTGCAGGTGCAGGAAAGAACCTGTGGATTCAAATTTAAAGGAAGGACTTAGGCAGCGTAAGGGGCCTCCCACTAATGAATATTCATGACCTCTAGTAAGAAAATAAGGGTAGCTAGGCACAAGCGGGGCCGCCAC